TTCTATTCTATTCTATTCTATTCTATTCTATTCTATTCTATTCTATTCTATTCTATTCTATTCTATTCTGTGTATATTAGCTTAATCACCTGTTTCCTACTTTTAGCTACATTTTTACCATTATTAGCATGCATTTGTTGCTTTTAGCCTATATTTTGTTCATTTTAGCTGCTTTTCTTCTTGGGTTAGCATCTCCAGCTGATTTTAGTGAAGTCTTTTAGCGCTTAGTGTTTATAATAAAGTCCCAGAAATATAACTTCTCCAATCTGCGTTCATTATCTCTGAGCTCACCCAGTCTTTGAGCTGCGTTTTTGATCTTCTCTCGCGCTGACTGCACATCTCCTCCCTCTGGTACGAGGACCTCGATCTCCCCCACATGATGGCCGAAGTCAGCTTGGTCCAGATCTACCTTCACCCCCTCCTCCACCAGAGAGAAGGACCGTCGAGTCGTTGTGAACTCTGCAAAGCAGGTCAGGTTCAGTTCGCTCAGCCAGGAGTCGTCTCCATGCGAGGGGGTCGACTCCGCCTCTCTGACTTCTATCATCTCCTTCACTCTCTGGTAAATTTCAGAAAGACTGCTGATCTCCTTGTAATGAGTACACAGCTCTGCAGACACAGACCGCTCTCCGCTCGTCGGGCACTTGAGCTCCCAGCATCCCTTTCTCTTACGAAGCCAAGTGTCTCTCAAAGTCAGCTCAAAGTCCGGCGTGTCAAAGTACTGGTCGTGGAACTGGCACTGATCAACACAAACTGCAGAAACAATCATCAAATATTAATAAATTGATAACAACCCTGCAACTGATCTGTAAACTTTATGCAAATTATCCTGACAGTCCTGTAATTATTTGTGTCGTTCCAACAGATACGTGCAGTAAATACACACCTCCGATGTTCTCCAGTGTTTTCAGGGTGTCGGCGCTGAACACAAWCTTTCTTTCCACTTCCACACTCATCTGAAAAACATGGCAAACAAAGACTTTGACTGATAACAGAACCAAATCTTGAAACCTTATTTAGGAAATGGTAGGATTAGTTGAAATCAGCCAGTTCCTCAATCTGCTGGTGGAACATGTTGTGCAGGGCTCATCTTTCCCTGATTGTTCCTCCTCTTCTTCCACATTGGGTTTCTGCCATCTGATTTAGTCGTTCATCATTATTTCTTCCCGATGTACTCCAGTACATGTACAACCACATATAGTATAGTAAATATACAAAAGTAAGAAGTACTCAAACTTTAGTAGGCAATAAAACGCCATTAACTAAACAAATTACTTCCAATATATTTTAAAAATTAATTTCACCCCCCATTTATTCAAATACACATAAAAGCTTAATTTCCCCCAAGTCAAAATATTCATCAGTATTATTGTTTTGTTATTTAGAGCTATTCTTTCTCGGCTTCCGTACTGTAGAAGGAATAGCTAAGTGTGCCCCTTTTGGGTGTGTTTTTGGTAAAGGTAGAAAATATAAAAGACAAACTAATATCTTCGGTTTAAAATCTTAACACACCGGTGTCATAAACTGCTATTGTTTAGTTTATATATGAATAATAAAGCAGTCATACCTAGATCAGCGCACCTGCCTAAAACCTGCTGCTGACGACAAACATGTACGAATTACAATTAAAAAAAAATCCGATATAAGCTGCAGAGTGTTTAATGTCACCCTAAATGTTGAAATTTTCACTCTTACGTACCTTCCCCAGTTGTCTGTTACGAGTTAATTTATTCGGCTCACAGAAGCAAGTGACAGATTACCCTCAGCAGCTCCCAAGTGATTTTAAACTTATTTCTAAACAGGCATATCGAGGGCCACCTATGACTGTTTTCGGGACGATTGCGTTCTGCTCCGGCAGCGCGGGGGGCACACGATTACAGATGGTGCAGTTTTAATCTTCGCCGCTTCATAAATATTTATTCCACATAGCTGAATTGTTGATATGCGCCACACCTATAATTTCATTGAAACCGTGTCGCAATTCAAATCATAGATGTCATAAATCTATAATTAGACTCGTCTGACTTTTTTTTGTGACGATCCGAGTTGGCAGAATGAGGGCTCATTTATTATTCACACTTAATGCGAAAAAGGGGGAAGGGCGTTACTATTAAAAACAATAATTCATCAGGTATTTATTTATTTAAAAACATTGTAAGGGGGGGATATTTCGAAATAATCTGTGTTATATCCTCGGGGTTGCATAAGGGATTTGATAGCGTCCCCTCTGAATGTCAGCAATCAGCCTTGGGGGGAGCTGTGGTCTGTTTACCAGAGGGAAGAGGGGAAGGAGAGAGGGCGAATGAAGGGAGGGGGAGAACAGGAGAGAGGACAGAGGGAGGGAGGGCAAGGCAGGCAAAGAAAACTTTTCACTTGTGAGGAGCCACAGAGGAAGCGTGTGTGAGTGAGTGTGTGTATGTGTGTGTGTGTATAAATGTGTTGGAGCGGCGACCATGCAGGTAAAAAAAAAAAATCGCATTTAAGCTAATTGCTCCGAACTTAATTAGTCGGCTAATTGTTGAGCAGCGGAGATCGCGGATCGTGTTCGTTACTAATCCGAACCATAACAGAACATTAAACCCCAAACTTTTTTTGTTTGTTTTTCCTGCCTCTTTTTTCTCTCTCTTTCCCTTTGCAAACCCCCCCCACCCCCCTTTTACCACACCGCCACCCTCCCTCATCATCGTCGAGGCGACGCACGCACTCCGCTCCGTCAATTTACGCCTCGAAAGCCGTTAAAACAAATGGTAGTTTTCTGATTAAAACCCCGCCATGTGTTGCACCGCGAGCGGTTGAGGTACGTATCCGAGCAGGAGTGAAGGGGGGAGAGAGAGAGGTGTGTGTGGGGGGGTGGCGGCGGGTGGTTCGGTCGGGCTGTGACGGGAGGAGGGGGTCGAGTGTTCCCGACACATCTGTAAGCGGAGCCCCGGTTCGTTAATTAAATGGCTTCAGTCAGGSTAGGCCTCCGTTTGTTGAGCAGCAGGCGGCGGGCGGTGCAACCCTAGATGCCCGATTGGCAGCCCACAATCAGGGTAAGGAACGAAATCGAGGCCGAGGTTTCGATTTGTTTTTTGTTTTGTTAATCTTTTTTATTTTAATTAACGTGTTTAACGCCAGTCGATGTTTTCGCAGCGCCCACCTGGCTGGTCCGGGGCAGAGTTTGAGGAGCAGCTCAGTTAATTATCTCCGCTTTGCTAACAGGCTAGCTAGCTATCTGACGCGACTGTTAACAGCCCCCACAACCCTTTTTTTGTTTATTAATTTAGCCCGAGATAACAGCTTATTATCCCCCTCGCCAGACTCTGATCCTTTATTTCTGTTACTGAGGATTATTATTAGATTATTAGGATTTCCAAACACCACCGTAATAATGCGACGTTGCAGGGGACGAGGGTGTGGGGGGGCTCCGCTGGTCGACGTACTTAATTAGACCTCTCACTAATTAGCCTGCTAATGACAAGAAAATAAAGAGGTGAATTTAGTTATGTTGTGGCTGCATTAGTAATCGTTACACTGAGGTTCATGACGTGCAGATAAATGGGGGTCTCTGGGATAATAAACTGCTCGCATATCCATGCTAGCTTTTTGCTAATTGGCATGACGAGGAAGTAAGGTGGTACTTCTTGTGTGTCGGTATTTATGTTCAGGGTTGGTTTGGCTGCACCTTGAACTATTTATATTTACATAATAAAAAGTAGCGAGGCATGTTTAGTGGCCTGTTTCACTAAAACAGCTGTGTTTGTGTGCTTTTTAATGCATGCTAAAAATAAAGTGCCAGTATCAGTTTAATGCACTTTAATGCGCATGCGCAGTGTAATCAGTTATTGTGTTAATTCTTCATGCTGTGATTTATTTATTTATTTTATTGTTTTATGTTTGATTGTGTTTTCTGCAGAGTTTGTGCTGTTTTTCGTCGTTCTCAGATCAAAACATTCAGCTCATTCTGGATTTGTGTGCCATAGTTTTTATAACTTTTATACTTTACAAAATATTTAACTTGATTTACAAAAGTTTCTCCTCAACTAAATTTATTGAGATGTTTGTATTTCTTCTAAAAACATTTTATTTTATTTCTTATCTTGGTCAACTTTTATTTTTTAGTCAAATTTCTGCAACTTTTTTTTGGCTACCTTTAGTTTTTAGTTAGTTTTAGCTTTTATTTATGTGCCTTTTGTTACCTTTTTACTATTTTTAGCCAAATCCTCAGTCTGCAGTGTTTGCTTACTATTTTAGCTGCTATTTTATTACTTTTAGCTACACATATTTGCAGTGCTTTTGCTACTTTTAGTCACTATTTGCTAATTTTTCAAAATCCTTTGCTATGTTTAGTTAACCTTTTGTTCTATTTAGCTAAACATTTGTTTAAGTAAACTTTGGCTCTGTTTAGCTGAACTTTAGCTACTATTTGCTAGCATTTTGTTGTTTTTAACATAGTCCTGTGTTTAGGAAATCTCTTTGGCTACATTTTGTATGTGTAGTTACACAATGTACGGACAAAAACTCACAGCCGTAATGAAAAAAGAGACAAAAGCTACAAAATGCTTATATTTCTGTGATATGGTATGAAGTACTGTATAATAATACTTTGATATAAATCTTATGCACTTTTACTGTAATGCGATGTGTAGCTGTTAAAAATAATTTCTTTTTAGCTTTTGTCTTTTTATTAAGGGTGTTTGTCAGGGACTTTTAGTTACATGTTTGCTACTTTTAGACACATTTAGCTATGTACTTTATTAAATGTAGCTACTTTTTTTGCTGTTTGGCTAAATCTTTGCTACTTTTGGCCACATTTTTATTACTGCTAGCTAAGTCCTTTATTACATTTAGCCACCCTTGTGCTTCAGGTATTAAGGATTCTTCTATGTTTAGCTTGCTTTTTGCTACTTTAGCTATGTTTTGATACTTTTAGGCAAGTCTCAAGTTGTATGTATCTACTGTTTGGCCATGTTAATTACCCTTTTTACTACTTATAAGCACATTTTAACACTTTGAACCAAGTCCTTTACTATCTTTAGCTGATGGTTTGCAGTATTTAGCTACCCTTCTGCTACTTTTAGTCACATTTAGCTTCTCTTAGCCCAAGTATTTCTTACATTTAGCTAATGTTTTCCTTTATTTGTCTACAGTTCTGTTACTTTTACCCACATTTTTCTACTTTTGGCCAAGTCCTTTGTTACATTTAGCTGTCCATGCACTAATCTTAGTTACCTTTAGCTACTCTTGTTACATCTATCTACCTTTTGGCAATGTTTAGCTCCTTTTTGCTTCTTCTAAACACATTTTACCACTTACCAACTCCTTTTGCTACATTTAGCTAGTGCTTTGCTATGTTTAGCTACTCTTTTGCTACTTTTTGCCATGTTTAGCTGCTCATTAGCCAAGTATTTACATTTAGCTAAGTTTAACTATTCGTTGACACATTTAGCTATGCTTTTTGCTACTTTTAAGCCACATTTTATTTTCAACCAAGTCTTTTGTTGCATTTAGCTAATGGTTTTCTATGTTTTGTTACACTTTTGTTATGTTTAGCTACTTTGAGCCAATTCGTTTGTTACATTGTTATCCATTTAGCTATAAGTTTTCTTCTTTTAGGAAGCTTTAACTCTCTTTCAGCTAATGTTAGCAGAGCTGTTTAGCACTCAGGGTTCCTGCTGCATTTTTCTAATTAAGCCTCAGTTTGAGCTGAGAGTCGGTCATTTCTGGTTCTGCTTCATTGTTCTTAACATAAAACAGGCTGCAACCTTGAATGTTTTATATTACAAAGGTGCCATCAGAGCCGTTGCATCATTGTGTCATTTGATACGGTCACGGCAGACAAAAAAAAAGGGAACCTCCCTGTGAAGGACCCAGAAGAACACAACACCAATCTGAGAGGAGTTTTACTGTAACACAACTGGAAAGTAAAGTGTCGTGATTTAACACGCAGTGGTGAAGTGCAGGAGGCCGACAACGTTTATTCAAATTGTTTAGGTTTTAGGTATATTTCAGATAAGTATTGTTCATGTCTGCGTCTTATTCTTTTTGTCAGGAGGAGTCTGGAGAGACGGTGTGCAGTGAGAGAAATGGGGTGGCGAAGTGGGTGTGCCCTCTGTGCCAAAAAGGGCAATCTGACAGATCTTCCATGTCTCTACACCTCACAGAGCAACACAGCGTACTTCCATCGTGTGTAGGCAGACTGCTGGACATCGTAAGTCTGGTACGGAAGGAGATTTTATCATTTTTTTAACCCCACAACTTCAACGCCACATGCATTTCAAAGTGAATGAAAGCTAGTTTTGTCAGGATATTAGCTATAATTAAATTAAAACAAATTATATGATTTTCAGTTAAAGTAAGAACTGTAGTTTCATTTAAAACTGGTGATGTTGAGATCTGTAGAGTCAGTGAAGTGAAGTTTCTAGGCGTCATTATTGATGAAAAACTGACATGGAAAAATCTAATAAATGGTTTAAGAACAAAAATAGCCAAATCTATTTGAGTCCTGTATAAAGTAAGAGAACTGTTCAATGATAAACACTGTTTATGTTGTAYAACGCTAKAAYTGTTCCACATTTAATTTACTGTATTGAAGTCTGGGGTAAAGCTTGTAAAACTATCACAAATCCTATTTTATTTTACAGAAAAGAGCTTTAAGAATTATTACTAGAAAAAAATACAGCCATCCATCCAATATGTTATTTTATTAATTAAAATAATAAAAATTCTATGATTTGGTCGATTTATATTTTGCTGATCATATACAGAGCTCATAAAGGTGTTACCTTCCAACATTCAAGTAAATTTTGTTAAAAGAGAGAGCTGTTATTATCTTAAGGGAAAAGAAAGGTTTGTGAAACCCTGGTTTTGTACGAGCCTTAAGGAGCGATCAACTTTAATCCAGGGAATAAGATTATGGAACAGCATGGAAGATGAGCTTAAAAATGCCAGATCTTTGTATATATTGAAGAGAAAGATAAACTCTAGTCTTCTGAAGAAATATGGAGAAGCATAAGTAAATTCATGCAAATTGTTGTTTGAGTTGGTGTTTTAAGTTTAGCTTTGTTTTTTGTTTGTTTTCAGTTGTTTTGATTTTTGTTGTAATTTTCTTTCATTTTGAACATATTCTGGGGATAAAAAATTATAAGATTTATCCTGCTTCTGCTGCCTTTCATTTTCATTGTTTTTATTTTTTACATGTTTTTTTTTGTTCTTTGTTGTCTATAAAAAAAGTGAAATAAATAAATTTCTAAAAAAATTAATGTTCCTCAACTTTATGGTTTTATATATATATATATATAATATATATAATCAAGGCAACAGAAGCACAGCGGCCTAACGAGGCGACACTTTACAGCAGCTTTGTTAATTAGAGAAGTTTCAAAACTCATCAAGTGAAAAACAGGAGAACTGCCTTTACAAACAGGAACCATGWGGATCAGTAGAGTTAAATGATCTGTTTGAAAACACGTGTTTAACCACGACTGGTAATTCCTGAGGTAGTGATTGTTTTTAATAGATATTACAGCGTCATCCAAAGATGACAGAAAACCATGTCCAGGATGGAGATGCTTTAAAATTATTATATTTTTATCATTTGTGTGTCTCAGTTACTACCAAACTGAATTTTAGCTCAATATCTGTAAAATTAACTAAGTCGTGTTTATGTTAAGGGTTGATTATCTGTGGCGGCCATTTTGAATTTCAGTTGTAGAAAGTTTAATTGAAATCTGTGCTTCATAAGATATTTTGCTAACATGAGAAATGGGGTAAGAACATTAAACAAAACTATCTTACAGTTCTGGTTTCATGTGTAAYACGGGCCAGTTTTAAACATGATTTATGGTTTTAAAACATGATTTGAATTTTTAATCGGAGGACGAACGGATCAAAGACGTTTTTTTATTTTTGCTTCAGGCTGATTTTTAAATTAAAGGCTGGTCTGCTGCATGCGAAACGTCTGCTTATCCCGGAGTCACGCCCAAACGTTGCCGCACGACGTTTGGGTCGATCCCGAAGGAGCTGAAATCTGACTTATTTTATTTATTTTTTCTTAACAGGCTGTTTTAAAGCAGGCTGCAAGTGGAGGAGAAGAGGACACAGGTGCTCTGGAGTCTGCAGGTGTGTGCCGTAAATACTTTGAATTATTTAAACCGGACGAAACAAACTAATATTTTTAACTTTTAATGGAAGTGTGTCAAGAAACACAAAATAAATTATTGTGCAGAAACTTATCTYAGGCATAAAACAATGTTTTCTTGATATTATGATATAAATTGATTTGGAGCGTCAAATTGTGTTTGAAAAGGCAAAAATCATATTTTTATCATTTCAAAATAAATCCACTTTATTTACAAACATATAAACTAAAGTTCTGCATAATGAACCCCAAAATCTCAGTAAAATAAACATTTTAATCAATTTAAACAAAATAAATGCATAAAAACTGGTCAAAATGACATAAATAATAAAGGTGACATTGGTGTATGTTTAGTTCATGTGTTAACCACATGATTAGACTAAATATGATGATTTTCACTTTTTTTACCAGCTGTGATCAATAAGGTGTTCGTTTGTCCTTATAGATTTTAAAGAAACTCTCAGGAAATAATATATTTGAAGACACTACAGCCCGTTGACCTTAAAAAATGACAAAAACTATCTAACTCGGTTAATTTTGCAGATATTTGACTAAAATTTGTTGTTAGGAGCTAAGAGTTAAAACTAACTGATCTCACATATTTCAAAAAGTAAATTTAAAGTACCTGTGACATGTCTGTCCTTCAAATACAAAAAGTCAAAGAAAGCATCTTTATACTTAAGAAAATTGGCACAGAACACATGATTTTACCCATTTTGTCCCATAAYTGGCCTATTTTCTTTTAAATTTGTCTCAGCCAAAGTGAAACAGGAAGTGACATCAAAGGGGAACTCATTAATAAAATAAAGTCGCTGGTCTCAGTTTATTAAAACTAAATTATTTAGACTTTAACTCATCATCTGTGTTTGATAGTGACTAAAATAATCTAAAGAAACATCAGATTCTTCTGTACAGTCTGTGTTAGCTTTTGCAACAACGCTCTGTTTACATGGAGACATTCCCCTCTGACATCACTTCCTGTTTCTTCACATGTAAATATCTCAACAACTGTTCATCTGAGCGACATGAAATTTGTTTTGCAGTATGTTATCAATGTTATCTTTCCAAAAATGCATTCATGTTTRTTACAAGAATTTGATGTCACAGGCACTTTAAGGTTTTACCCTGAACTTTAGATCATCTCTGTTAAAAAACTTTAGAATAAAGAGTGAAATGCATTCCTTCAAGGGTTGACACCTTTAATTTGTAGCGCTCACTCTACAAGAGCTTGAACCGTGTTTATTCTCCGCAGATGCTGAATCCTCACAGCTGAATCACTCTGAAGACCCCGTCTCAGACCCCTGCAAATCCAGCGAGAGTTCAGACGYTGCCCAGACGCTCGGAGACAAACAGATGGAGGAGGAGAGAGTAACRGAACAGGAGGGAGGTGAAGCCGAGCCCGTCCCCGAAGAAGAGGAAGCCAAGCCGCAAAACGCAACGGAGAACGCAGAAACGAGCGAAAAGTCCGCKGAGAAGAACGGCGGTGCGCGGCCCTTCAGCTGCAGCGCCTGCCAGGAGAGTTTCCCCAGCAGGACCGCCCTGAGCGTTCATTACAACTCTGCGTCCCACATCCAGAGGATGACCTCGGGCTCTGCCAAGCACGCCGCAGACATCAGCCCCCAGTCCCCCGCCATCCAGTTCCTGTCCCGGCCGTACGTTACAAGCAAACCCTACCAGTGCGCCGTCTGCCGAGTCTCCTACAATCACGCCATCACCCTGGAGAGCCATATGAAATCTGTTTTACACCAGACTCGCAGCCGGAACGCAGGGATGGCTGCGAGCRGCGCCGCCGGCTCTGCGCCGACCACCGCTGAGACCAGAACGGGTTCCGTAGCCAGCAGCCGCGCCRCGCCGGGGAAGGACAAAGAGCAGGTCTCCACCTCACAAGTGGCTCCTTCCCTCCTCAGCTCCTCGGTGGCCTCCACTCAGGCGGTCTCGGCCTTCCTCACCCTGTCGCACTCCCTCCTCCCGTCCCTGTTCGCAGCGAGCGCCGCGCCCGGCGCCGCCGCCCCTCAGCTCGTGCCTCAGCCTCACATGGTCATGCCCTTGATCTTAAACGGGCTCCAAGCCCAAACCCAGCAGCATCAAGACAACCAGCAGGGCCAGGTCCTCACCCAGTGTTTGCCGTTTGTAGGCCTGAACCCGGCCCAGCAGGCCCTCCTAACCCAAAGACTTAACAGCTTGCAGAACCAGTGGCCCTCGCCGCTCGTTCCGGTGCACACACGSACCCCTCAGGAAGAGCAAAAACAAACTCTGCAGTGCGAGGGAGAAGAAGAGAAGCAGGAGACGGGCTCGGATCACATCAAGGACACAGAGAACTGGGCCTCAGAGAAAGAAGAGAAACCCAAAGGAGAGAAGGTTGAAAGTACCGAGGAGCAGGAACTTCCAGATAACAGAACCGACGGAGACCAGCCCGACCCAGAGGGAGAGAAAGAAGCCGGTCCCACCCTCTCCCCTCGCAATAACAGCCCCTCGCCTTCAGCATCCGTGCCCAGCCACTCCAGCCTCAGTCCTGTCAATTTGGACCTGACCCTCAGCCCGGACTCCACCCCTCAGAAACCCGGCACCAGCCCCGGCGCTTCCCCCAAATCCAGCACAAGTACGAATGCCTTAACCACTAACCAAACCCGCCTCCGCTGGAGCGCAGTGGGGTCCGACCACCCGGACCTCCCGGTGCTGTCCGAGTTCCAGTCGGAGGTGCTCTGGGCCTTCTTGGAGTCGCGGAGCGAGGCCGACGCCGCCGGCCCCCCTCGCGAAGACTGCGAGGCTCTGGGTAAGGAGGTGGGCCTGTCGGAGGAGGAGGTGCGCCGGTGGCTGGCTCAGGCCCGGCAGGTCAGGCAGAGACGGAGAGAGCTGAAACTCCTGGCAGAAAGACACGCCCAAGTGTTTGACAACGACTACGACGACGAGGAGAGCTCCCTGATCATAGCGGAGGGCGAGGACGACGAGGCCGAGGCRTCGGGGAGTCAGGTGATGGACCTGTCCTGTGGGAGGGGCAAACGAGGTGCCGCGGGGCGAGGTGGTCCAAGAGACTCCATCCTCACGTCGGACTCTGAGAACGAGGTGTACACCTCGCTCGTTGTTTCAGATGAGGAGAGTCGGAACGAGTCGTTCCAGGGGGGCCATGAAAGTCCGGATAAAGACGAAGCACAGCGGGAGGTCCACGGAGACAAGGGATCAGCCGGAGGAAAGGTTCTACGCTCCACCACCGTGTTCCTCTCTGACGCAGAGGAGGAGTACGAGGATGAGGAGGGTGGAGAAGGGCAGAGAGCCAGGAGGAAAAAACGGAAGGGGGATTTCGMGCGTGACGACCTYGACTTGAAGAAGGAAAGACCGGATCCGGATGTGGATCTGGAACTGGAGGCTCAGGGAGACCCTCCGAGCTGCCACACCTCCGTGATGGACCACGCAGAGATCTCATCCGGTGCTCTCCACTCGCTCCCCCTGTCCCTCACCCCYTTCTCACCCCAGTTCCTCAGCCCGTACGTTCTGTCCCTCACTCCCTCGGTGGTCTCGGACGGCAGCAAAATATCTGTCTTTCCCAACGCCCCGACCATCGCTCGCTTCTCCAACTCCTTCCTGTCGCAGTCTCTGTCCCCCTTCAGCCAAACGCCTCACTTCCTGTCCAACGGCGAYGACTGCGAGTCGGCCCTGGACCTCAGCATGGGCAAGAACGCCTCCAGAACGTCGTCTTCCTCCTCGCCRTCTCTGGCGGAGAAGATCGCCGTGCAGAAGGGGCAGCTGCTGGACGGGCTCGGGCTGCGGCCAACATCCAAAGGTTTGGTGGTGGTCCAGGTCAAACCGGAACCCCCGTCCAACAGCCCCCTGAGCCTGGCCAACTGCGGTAACGTGGCGAACTCCAACAGCTACCCCCGAGCGTCGGACAAAATGAGCGCGGCGCTGCTGGAGAGGGAGCGGGAGCAGCAGCAGAGGAAGTCCAAGGGCAAGCGGTACATGCGGGACATGCGTCGCTCGAGGACCATCATCCAGGCCGAGCAGCTGGACGTCCTGTACGGCTGCTACTTCAAAGACCCCAACCCCGGCAAGCACGAGTTCGAGCAGATCTCCGAGTGGGTCCACCTCCCCAAAAAGGTGGTTCAGATCTGGTTCCAGAACATGAGGGCGAGGGAGAGGAAGGGCGAGGTCCGCTTCATCAGCGACGGGACRCTGGCGGCCGTCGGCAAGCCCCTCATCAAATTCACCTGGCCCCTCTCCAAGCCCATATTCTCCAACAAGCCCGCTCCGAACAGCACCGGGGGCATCCCGGCCGCTCCCATCGTGCGCACCCTGATGAAGACGAACCCGGAGCCCGAGAAGGAGCCGAGTAAACCGGCGGTGCTGAAAAAGACCACCCCGGTTCCCATCAAGCCCAAGGAGGTGGTCTCCTGTACCACCGTGTCTCCGGTGGGCAGCGGTGCTTCTCCGGTGCCAAAGACCAAGCTGGAACCTGCTGGAAACCTGTCCCTGGTAAAAATCGCCCCCATGGTCAACGCCCCTGTCCGCCTGCCGCCCCCTAAGGACCTGGTCCCGATCGCCCCGCGGGTCRCTCAGAACCGTCTGGAGGAGGAGAGCGAGGACGAGAAGACGGACGAGGAGAGGGACGATGAAAACGAGACGACCTCCGGGGTGGGGACGGTGAACCGGATGGTGCCGAAGCTGCCCACGACMCCCATCAACAACCGGCTCTCTGCCACGACCGTGGTACCCCCCAAACAGAACGGGCTCAACTACTGGACCCCCAAAGTCCCAATAAAGATCAACACCTTATCCAGAGAGCAGCTGGCGCTGCCAACGCATGCACCGCCCCGCACCATCCCCCCTCCTCCCACCCCCAGCATCGCGCCGGTCAGCCCCAACACCCCCGGCTCCGCCAAGTCRTCCGGCCAGAAAACCCCCATCCTGCCCAAGCCGGGCCCGACGGAGGGGGGCTTCCTGTCTAACTCGTCCAGCCGCCGGCCGCGCACCCACCTGTCCTGCCTGCAGCTGTCCATCCTGCAGTCCTGCTACGAGACCTGCGCCCACCCYAACGCCATGGAGTGCGAGGCCATCGGCAACGAGCTGAACCTGCCGCTCAAGGTGGTGCAGATCTGGTTCCAGAACACCAGGGCCAAGGAGAAACGCTGGAGGCTTCAGCAGGAGAAAATGGTACGTGATCGTCCTTCAGCCTGCTGAACAAATGATTTAGATCAAACTGGGCTTTACAAAACAAAATGTAAAGCCTGGTCCAAGCCCCGTTCTTATATTAATAACTGTTTCTCAATTCTGTTTTATGTAGAATTTAGAACAAATTTAACCTGACAGATGAGAAAAGATTAAATTTAGAAATTCTCATCATTAACATTAATTTCTTATATCTTAAAGTGCCTGTGATATCAATTTTTTGTAATAAACGTGAACGCATTTTTGGAAAGATAACATTGTTAACATACTGCAAAACAAATTTCACTCCACTGAGATGAACGGTTGTTGAGATATTTACATGTGAAGAAACAGGAAGTGATGTCAAAGAGGAATGTCTCCATGCAAACAGCTCGTTGTTACAAAAGCTAACAACAGACTGTGGAGAAGAATCTGATGTTTCTTTAAATTATTCTGAGTTTCTATCAGAGAGACGAAGAAGAGTTAAAGTTTAAATAATTTAGTTTTAATAATCAAGGACCAGCGAGTTTATTTTATTAAAGAGTTCCCCTTTGATGTCACTTCCTGTTTCATTTTGGCTGAGCCAAATCCAAAAGAAAATAGGCCAATTATGAGACAAAATGTGTAAAATCATGTGTACTATGCCAATTTTCTTAAAAATAAAGATGTTTTCTTTGTTTGTTTTTTTTGTTTTTTTGTATTTGAAGGATAGACATGTCACAGGCACTTTAACGACACATTTTACCAAATCATCGCTAAAAATCACATTAACTTTTTAAAATAAGAAGAGACAGAAAAAGATGATTAACCTCGGCAATCTGCATCTCCTGTTCTCTGTTTCTGTTCTGTTAMTTTAAAATCTGTCGTTTGGACAAAAACACGTTTGGTGTCTCATAAAAATATTTCTACTTCCACCAAACAGCTCAAACCACAAGCAGATGAATCAAAGAAAACAAATTATTCAAAATGGCATCAATGCAAGTCTGTAAATATGTTTGGATCCTTTTTGACTTTTATTTATTTAGGTCAAAGCTAAAAGTTAAATGTTTTGAAAGTTTTTTTTTTTTTTTTTGTTTTGAGTGAATCTGCTCCAGTTAGAGGCAAATATAATAAA